CTTCGCAGCACTTCACTTGCAATTTGCAATTTCTAGTAATATATTAAATGCTTGCAGTACACTACGTAGTTCTCAGAAAAAGTTGTTTTTGTTGAGAATATTCCCAGAAGGATTTTAAAATGTCAATATTATACTTTATCACGCGATAAAATACAGTACATACAGTATATGACTTGACTATACTTTGTTCTCAACATCTTTGAATGTTTTCGAATATTTTATAGATACCGTACTCGCGCGAGTAAGCGCCCGGGCGCTTAAAATATTTTTTGCACTTTCTGAGGGGCGCTTATGGAAATAGATGAAAATCGAGGGGTTCCTATGGGAAATTATTAAATTCAAGAGGCACTTTTTGAATGAAAAAGATAGAACGAATGGTGGTTAGGCGGAAAAGATAATCCTCAAGAGAACATGGCTCATGACAAGAATGCGTGAATATTTACATAACAGCAAAATAGCAGATGCAATTAGTGGTGGTGGATAGTGGTTAGCTTGTTGGCCATCGGCGGATTGAGATTAGCAGGATGGCAGGATCATGTATTTTCTCTTGGAAACTCAGATGAGAATGTGTTAAAGGTCGGAAAAAGAAAAAGAGGAGTAGGACTAGGTATAGACAAGTATGTAAAAAGTGTTAAGTTGGAAATATACTGTCTGTCCAGGGATCGGAGCTCTCATCTTTCCAAGAGAAATATCCTCATTTTGATATTGACCTAAAAAAGAATGTGTTTCCACTCTGCAGCTCAAATCATGCCAACATCAACAGTCCAGGATTGATTGGATTATTGACTTGCTAAAAAGAAAATCTTATGATATTACTGACGGGGCGCTTATTCAAACGGGGCGCTTATGGAAATTTTCACGTTAGGAAGGGCGGTTATTCAAACGGGGCGCTTATTCGCGCGAGTACGGTATTTATGCTCTTTTTGGTTCAATGTTTTCACAGGGATCCTTTGATTTGTTTAGTACCAACACTTATAAAATCTGTTTTTAGAACCAGATGCGATCTGACGACCCTCAAAAGTTCGTCTTATTAATAGGTCCATGGTTCGTCCACAACCCAAACATGGGTCGTGACCCGTGGGTTGCCGACCGCAGTTTTAAACAGTTAAAATTAATGTTTTCGAGTTATAGCCTACTGCTAATATATTCGCCTGTTGCTTGCCATAAACAGTAACTTTTTAAAAAGTTTTAAGCATACAACTAGTTGAAATAATTCAGTAGGATTGCTCCTTTAAGTCAGCATTATATTTTGTAGGCCTATTGTATTGTATCGTATTGTTGCTATTACGGTCACCTTCGTTAAATAAAATTAAATAAACATTACACTTAATACATACCAAATATTTATTCCCGTTTCTTCTTTGAACATCTGTTCGGTTATATTAATTTTATCCTTACTGAATAGATAGAATTCGACATCCGTGTGATTCATAGACAGATTTTTCGCTATATTGAAATACTCGTTCTTTTCTCTGTTGTTATCTGTTAAATACAGCCACGGTATAACAACCATTTTAGGCTCTTCACTTTCGAGAATTTGAGTCTTCCCTATGTTGACATGACCTATAACTCTGACTGTGGTGCGTTTACCAACATCCTCTTCAAAGCCTAGTGTAGGCGCAGCGTTCATTCTCAATACACACTCTGTGCTGTCAATTCTTGAGCCAGCGCTGCTGTTGAGTACATGGCCAGAGTTTGTGACAACAGCGCAGTGTCCACAGTGGAATTGCAATGCCTAAAATACAACAAAATAAGATAGAAACAGATAAATTTTAAAACACTATTTGAATGTCAAATGACTTAACCAAGGGTAAATTTTATTTTTCTATGTGATCTTTCTAATGGAGTAACGCTGGGGCCAGTGGTCCTATGGTTTTCTGAGACTGGGGGCCCTTTGCGGGTCCTGGTTGTGGGATTTTAGAGGCGCTCGTTTTTAATCATGTTTGCTATTGTATTCTAAATGTCTTAAGCGACAAAATAAATGATATGATATTACCAGTGCGGATCCAGAAATTTGAAATAAATGGGGCCCAAGGAAAGACTTTCACAGAGGAAATTTATGATTATGAATCCTCTAGATGGCCGGAAATATAACTTTCCTTTGGCGATGTACTGTTGAATGTTACGGGAGGCAGTTGAGGAGGCAATCGCTGGGGATGTTATGGTTACCATGTCACAATTTTTTTTTAAAGGACGTCTTTGTATTTAATGTTTTGAGTGCTTAATAGTCCTAGTGAAGAATTATTGTGCAATTCGATCAAGATTTTTACAAAGGGTTGGGGGCTGTCTCTTATACGGGTTGGGGGGGGGGGAGGTGGGCAGAACAGTTTCAGAATAAATAAGCGAGTGGCACATAACATTGCACTGAAATTTTTAAAAATTAGTGGCAAAACGGGGCGGGCACGTTCCTCCCAGCCTCCGTGTGCGCTCCCTCTCTACTACTGGATCCGGGCCTGTTGTGTTAATATGCTGATACTTACTTTATTATTTCTTAAGTTATAGTATCTTGCATCACCCTCATCAATTGTAGAATGAATATTTGTAGTGCTAGGTGACTTATGTCTCCCACTCGGGCCTGCGTTCCTCCACAAGAATTCTTCGATGGCGTCACTGTTTTGAAACGCGTTTGTGCTTCTCGTTAAGGTTTTTCTTTTTAGAGCACTTACATGAATATCATAAAGTAGTTTATCTTGATAGATGTACGTGAGCATCATGATGCCATTAACTATTAGAAGTATTGTGATCAGTTTTTCATTCTGAAAAGAAAGTAAGCGTCTCATAGATGTTGAATGATGACAATGCAAAATATAGTAAGCAACCAATAAATACATTTTGTGTATATTTTTTAATTGATATATTAAGGTAGTATAATGCGCTTATCTTTTTCAAAATTGAATTTAATGGTAATTTTAAATGTATATTCATTTATTTTAAAGATAATTTTATAATTGGCTAAGCCACAGGTGCGCGAGGTGCGGCCCAAAAGTGATTTTTTTTTGCGGCCCGCGAAAGTGAAATAAAAAACCCTACCGGTATGTGTGCGGCCCAACCAAACATCTTTAACTAGAAAAAAGAAAGTTATAGCCCGACACCGATCCTCTGTAAAAAGTAATATTAAAACTGAGAATACACTAATATAAAAACAATGCATGAAGGTTTTTGGAAGCACATTGGAAACATGAAAGTTTGGGTGCGGCCCTCGGTGTTAAATAAAAAAATTAATTCACTTTGGCCATTAGACCGATAGTAGAGGCTAAATATGTTTTAACCTTAAACAAACTCTAAGAAAAGGACTTTTTGTATATTCTTGTACGTCTATACGTAAATAATTATGGAAAATTTTTTGCCGCCTTTTTATAGTTGCGTTGACCAGATATTCAGGGTCAAGGGTCAATGACCTTTATATAACATGTTTTAGGTCATAAGTCTTTAACCACTTGCTCTAAAAGCACAAAAATAGTATTTACACCTGGGTTTTAGTTTTAGGGGTCAACAATTATGGAAACATTTTTGCCTTTTAGCGTTGACCAATATTCAGGGTCAAAGGTCAATGACCTTTATACAACTATGATTGTCATAACTCCTCAACCAGTTCGCCTAGATGCACAAAAATAGTGGCTACACCTAGGTTTTTGGGATCAACATTTATTGAAACATTTTTGCCACCTTCTAGTAGCTCCATTGACCAAATATTCAGGGTCAGAGGTCAATGACCTTTATACAAAATATGATGATCAGAACTCCTCAACCACTTGGTCTAAAAGCACAAAAAATAGTGTATGAATTACTAGGTTTATGTTAAATTAATATTATCTATTAAAATTGTATATTTAAATAATATAGTAATAGGCATAGCCTCAATAGGCATAGCCTAGGCCTAAACCTAGTGACTAGCCTATGTGTGTAGTGTATAAAATTATGAATAAAAAGTATGAATAAATGCAAATTGTGAAAGAATAAAGGAAGAAGGAAGAATAAGATAGAGATTTGGAACGGCTGAAATATTTTCCAAAAATATACAATATTAGTCAATATTCGACATCGAATAGGTCCGATTGATGTCGAATTTTTTTACACTACACACATACTTTAAAGACAGTTTAAAGTCTGGTAAGCGTTCGAACCGCGGCTCTGGTGTGAGGAGGGTCATCAAAGCCAGCGGGAGTATGCCCAACAATTGGTCTACATTCCTGAGATGTGATGACAACAAATCAGAGTGTTTCCATTAATTGTAAAAGAAGTAGAGAACATTGACACAAACCACGGATTGTTTGTAGAGTCTCTGGGAGACGGAGCTGTAGCAAACCAGTATGTAGATCTGCAACCATTGCTATGTAACATGAAAGAGGCAGATGAACGTATATTTGTTCATGTTAAACATGCTGCTGAAAATTGTCCATGCATTCTTGTCAAGACTGTAGACAGTGATGTTGCTGCTATTGAGTTATCAGCTTTCCACAGAATACCTGCATGGCATCCAGGAGCTTTGGCTCGAGGGGAAGCACTTAAAGTACATTCCAATACACGCGATTGCTACTTCTCTGGGACCACAGATATCAACCGCTCACAATCATAGGCGTAGATCCCGGGGGGATGGGGGATATATCCCCCCAATATTTTACAAGGGGGGGATGGTCCATTGTATCATCCCCCAATATTTTGACTATGTACCGTAAACTGGGGTAACATTGGCATGCAGGGTAACTTTGGCAGTTCACTACCTGCAAAGTTTGTCGGCTCGTTCGGAGGATTTCTATTCATCTGATTGGAGAATGGTTGGTACCAACTTGTTCAGAAATAAATAATTTCATTATATCAAGCTTTATTTTTTTTTTTAAACAATATGTTTTTATAAAAATATAAGAAAGACTTTAGGGGCGTGGCCTAATTTTAAGGGTCATTTTAAAAAATTGCGAATAAATAGAAAAAAAATTAAATCGAAGACAGGCCATATGGTAACGCCCTCTAGTTGTGTCAAATGTAAAGAAAATCGTGTACAAAAGCCTTTACCGATCGTGCATTGTTCGCCAAACTTCTTTCGAAAAATCATAATATTCAGAAAATGTCCAGCCTTTGTTATAGCAACTATTTGCTTGACCTTGAACGGTAAGTCAGCTATATATGAGCTAAAGAACATATTAAGTGTGTGACTATGAAAGAATACTCTGTAATCATAATTTAAAAACATATTTAAGCTTGTCTAAGCATCTTGCAATGCAGCTAGACGACATACACCATGCATGAGGCATCATGGTGCATGCCTGTGCCTGACCTTTAACTCCTCCAAGTCTAGGCCTAGTCAATTCTCTCTAGCCTAAGCGAGAATTTTTAGCAAAATTTAGGGTACTGGACACACCCACAACCACTAAATTATTTATGGATGATGTATTCAGAAATGTCTATACAAATAATTATCAAAATTATTAATCCTAACTAAAAATAATAGTATAATATTATTTATGATGCCAACATTACTACTAGGCCTAAACCCGGAAGTAAATGTTTTGTTTTTGTTTGGTTAGGTAATATCAACGTAAATTTAAATAGTAGTACATATAAAGGTTTATACTGTATAACAATAAAGTTACCTTTCTTTCATGTATTTATTTAAGCCCAGGCCTTTTTCTATATAGTGAATTTTAAAATGTCAGTAGGGAGAAAACAATTTAAAAGTGTTTGGTATTATTAAATGGTTTCGCTTTTAAATTGCAGTTCCACCATGGTTTGTAATTACAAGGCAGAAAATGGAAAGAGGAAATATAAATCGTTCAGTGACGATGATGTATAAGAAGCCATAGATGCCGTACGAGGTCGACTCTACAAAACAAGCTAAATCAAAAGCATAAGAAAAATGTAGGACGACCTACAGTGCTGAGTGAAGCGGAGGAGATGGTTCTCGTTCAAACGCTCTCGGAAGTGGCAAAATGGGGGTACCCATAACTCCATATGACCTGAAAATTATTATTCAGACATATCTGAATAAACAAGGGAGAGAAGTTAAGGTGTTCAATGCAATGGTAGTGAATACAAGCCTGAATTTGGTTGCGATGAATGTGTATGTGCGAGTGATTCGGACTATGGGATTTTAGCTAATATAAATGCATATTATTATACAGCACTTTAATACTTTATAATTATGATTTTTTAATGATTTTATACAGTTTTAAAGTTTTATTGGATGCTATTAAAGTTGATATTTGCTTGCCAATACAATTCAGCTTGTGTTTGTCTATTTTATTCTCAATATTTATGTTAATTCATAGAAAATGTGTCAAGTGCCAAAGTTGCCCCAAACAAAGGGTAACTTTGGCAGCTCCTTAATGGGCCCCCAGGGAAGAATTGTATGCAGATTTTAATTTTTTTTCAACATGAGTGGCAACATTAACCCTCAAATGTAAATAATATGGTAGAAAGAAAAAAAAAGATTCAGTTTTTTTGGAGATATTGGCCCTATAATGTGAAAAACCTGCCAAAGTTACCCCAGTTTACGGTATGGGATAAAATGGAGATTTACACACTTCAAAGACTGTCACAGAAATAATTTGCACTGTATTATGCGCTTACAAAGATGAAAATTAGCATAATGTATTAATGTTGATAACAAAATGATCTGGTACCAATCTAAGCTCTTCTTTCCTTAGATGTTAGATGTGCTGGCAAAGAGAGCCACATTTCACACTGAAGGGTGTGTACGACATCAGTAATGTTATGTCAATTCCGAGAATGTTTAAGGTTATATCGGTTGATGAGGAATTTATTGATTAGGCCTATAATAGAAAATTGCATCAATTTATTTTGCAAAAACAATGTTTCCAGCTTCAGAGGGGGGCACGTCTCCTGTCCGCACAAGGGCACATATTGGTGCTAACACCAGGCGCGTAACAGGGGTCTTGGGTCAGAGTGGGTATTCATTTTTTTATTTATTTTTTTATTTTTTTATTTTTATAGAGGGTAACCCTTCTAGTTTAGCGCAGTAGGTTAACTGATATTCAGGACCCTCTTTAATAACATTAAAGAACAGTACAAACAACATCATTACAACATAATAATAATAACAACAACAACAACAACAACAACAATCCTCATTCACCATCTATACACATTGAGGCCCTTCTTTTAGGTTAAAATGATCTATCTTAAATTTGTCCTTCTTGAGTTTGGGACTATTATGTGTTTAAATAACTCAGAAGGCTAACCTTTAAGAACATCATAAAAAAGGCGCACGAAGCGCGCAAGAAATGTTTGTGTTTCTAATTCTAATTTCGTCAGAATTGATCAAAACTCTTTCTAGAGGAAATTGGCCTACTGCAACAAGAAATGCGCGCGAAACGCGCGAAATTTGAAATTTTTAGACACTTTCAGGGGGTGAAAAGGGCATCTTCAAGGGGTGGGGAAAATATGGACACTTTTTGAAGTGGAGAAGTGGTTGGAGGGCGTTGTCATTATGATATCTCCCTTTTTATTCTTGTCTTTATTTTCTCTTCTTTTTTTCCTTTCCTTTTCCTTTCCCCTTCTTTCTCTTTCACTCCCTCTCCCCTCCCCCCCCACCCAATGAAAAATATTTTTCTACGCCACTGCTCACAATTGTCCTTTCACTACTTTAGCGGTTGTGATACAACTTTATCTGTTCAAGGTAAGGTAAACCGTCATTTAACGAAACTTGGAAAAAGACGCCATGTATGATTCCAGTATTCTAGAGAATCTGTAGGAGATGTTAGTGGAACAGACACTAGAACAGGAGACAACAACCTAGTTCTAGACACTAGAACTAGGTTGTTGCATGTACTGCGGCACATTTGATGGTAAGAAGGTAAATGATGTAAGGTGATACCTATTTACAACTGGAGAAAGGCAATACCCCCAACATCAGCTGCATTAAAGAAACATGTCAAACGATCTGTACTACAATCCAGGAAGTGGTAAAACTGTCTAGATGTCCTCAGAGTTGAACAGGACCCAGTTAATTGGGGATGGATGAAGGACGACAACAAATTTACTCCAGTTTGGAGCTCTCTGCCGAACTTTTAAATGTCACCAAGGTGTTAATTCGTTGTGGACACACAAACCAGTGGCGGATCCAAAGGGGTTCAGGGGGTTCAG